AATGAGGGAGCCCAGAGCTGGGGCGGCAGGGGGTGTGGGTGGGTGGGTGGGGAGAGCCCAAGGCTGGGGCAGCAGGGGGGTGTGGCGAGGAGCCCAGGGCTGGGGCAGGGGGCAGCCAAAATTTTTTTTGCTTGGGGCGGCAAAAAACCTAGAGCCGGCCCTGAATGTAAGAACTGCTTTCGTGTATTCAGAAATGGGAAGAGTTTGTTTATACATTTACCAATATCTCACACTGTCAGAGGAAGAAAAGCAAAATGTTAGAGACCCTGTGAGCACTGAAGAAACATTTCCAGCCCAAAAGGAATGTTATACATAATACAACCACTAGAGTCAGAGCTAGAACCCATAGATCAGTATGCCACACAAAGCTGAGGCAGTCGACAGCCACGTGTAAATTTGGGAGTGATACAAGATCCCATAGGGCTGGGCACCAGAGACATAGATGCCTGAGGCAGGATGCTAAGGGAGCCCAAACTAGTCAGTGTGCTGCAGAGGCAGTGAAATGACACAAATGCTACTGAAAGTACTAACTGCAGATCCTAGAGGTGAAAACACTAAACTCTATATAGGGAAGAACATCAAAACTAGAAAGAAGAGCTCACCATAGGACACACTGGCACCAAGGCAGCACAGCACAGAGATTATCATGTTCCTAACTGTAGTAGTCAGAAGAAGAAGAACAGTGTCCAACACTGAGGTGGTCTGCAGAAAATAGTTTAAAAAAAAAAAACTTTTTAGCAAAAGCAGCAAAATCGGGCCCTTCTGGTCAAAGGCAAAGAGGACAGCGCATCTGCACAGTTCATATTCAATACTAAACATCATGTAGTCACCAGATTAGTGCCTAAACCAGATTCAGAGACAAACCCAGCATGTTGAGATACTGTAGGCTTGGAAAGTAACTGTTCTAGCAGGATGGATACATATGAAAGATGTATTAGAGAATACTGGACATCCCAAGAAAAAATAACATGCGAAATGGAATCCAGTAAAAAGAACCCAAAGTTATGAGACCTCAGAAGTTGACAAGAATCCATGGTAGTTATCGGGAACCAGATGCACGTCCCCACTCCCCACAAGGCCACAGATGAGTTACACTGGTCTTGCATGAGTTTAGACATCAAAGACATTGCTAAAGACTGCAAAACAAGCAAGCAATGTTTAAACAAGCAAGTGAGGGAGCCAGTTATACACTCAACACCACAGCACACCTGCCTACATCACGTTTCTCTGCATTTAGAGGTAGGTGGACAGACATACTGATGTAACAAAAAAATCCTCATAGGTACCAAAGAAAACAGAAATAACTCCCTCTATCAAGTCAACTGCTTTTCCCAACCCTGAACCCGTGGAGAAACTAATAAGAATGCAGAACAAAGTTGCAACATCTGAAGAGATACCTGCAGCGCAACCTGGGCCCACATGCACAAGAATGATCAAAACACCAGCCAGATTGAAATATCGTTATGTACAAATATCAACTAAATATACCACAGTGGAGAGTCTTTTTAAAAACATCTCTGTGCTGTTTAAAAGACAGTTTTGGCCAGGGACACTGCACTCATATTTAACTGATCTCTAGTAAAGGTTGAGAATGAGTTGTTTGTTTAGTCAGTGCACTAATGCACTCCTTACTCCTATGAAAGAAAGGATGTTACAAGATAATGTCAAATGCCTAAGAATGGCGTCACCCAATAAGCATTATAGATTTTACTGCTTATGTTCATGTAGAGTGCTTAGGATGTGGTTGTATGAAAAAGCTTTGCTGTATCGCCCATTACCATTTGATTTTGTAATATTTTGCAAACTTCCAAATGCAAATTGTTAATGAAAGTTCCATAAATATACTGACAAAATATTTTAAAAGGAGAAAAATCTGTTTGGCTTTTAGTGTGCTGTTATTAGGCACAATAGGACAATACACTTTACTACAGGTTAATAAATCAGGACTCCTTTGAATTCTTTTCTTAAGGCTACAGACCCAGATTCGGGACTCTGGGGAGAAGTCAAATACTCCATATATGGAACAGGAGCTGATCTGTAAGTAAAAAAGTTAACCTTTGAATACATTAAAAAGAGAAATCACTACTGACAAAATAAGAGGGTTAAGACAGCAGCTGGCATCTCAGACAAATGCATGTTGAGATTATCTGAGGGGGAGGCACTTACCCTATGTCTTTTTCCTGAGTTGTTTCTGTTAAAATATTTTCTCCTGCAAAACACAGGCAAAAACTTGTTGTATAAGTCTATGGTGTTTTACCACATGCCCCTAAAGAAACCTAGGGCAGCTAAGTGACAATGCATAGCATCTGTTCAAACTATCATTTAAAAAGTACTTTTTGCAGGAGGAAGGGTTGTTTGTGCTGGTTATTGCGAAAGTTCTGTGGACCCCACACGCCCCTGTTTAGCTGCAAAAACAATGCCATTTCAACACTCAATCCAATGTACAGAAAAGACCAAAAATTCATGGGAACCATATCTAAAAATTTCCACAACATTTTCTGAGGTCTGACACTGTTGGCACTTCTGGCATTGGTGACTGGCACCACTGGATATTAGAACTGTTGCTTGCATGTAACACCAGTAGCAGCAGGGCATGGAGGAAGGGAACAGGATGTTCACCAGATCTCTAATAGATACCTCGCTCCTGCTTCCTGTTGTAGGATAGATGAAAATGAGCACCCATTTGATCAGCTCTCCAACCCCACCCCAGTTATTGCAAATGTAATAATTGGCTGGGGCTCCTAGCCATCTCGAATATGGCTGGTCATCTCTCACGATTCTGCGGAACCTCTCACCCCTATGACTTAAGAGGTTGGAGAGAAGAACTTGCAAATGAGTATGTTGTCCAGACTCTCATCCCCCTCTCCTGCAAAATTTTATTTCTTCTAGTAATTCCCCACCTGGTTTTAAAGCTCTGCTCCCCACTTTGAGTAGGATGCTAATTATGGCAGTCAAATCCAGAATTTCAGGGGTTTATTGGGAAACATCCAAACAAGGGCGCACATACAGGAGCTTCTAAATCACGGCTTATTTTGAGCTTCTCACTAAATCCTCAAGCAAGCTGTTAATTGGGTAGAAGCAAGCAAGCAAAGGCCATCTGATGCACTCAGACCTATTAAGTTTAAAATGTAACAGCTGGTGCCAAAAAACTTCTGAAGGCTTGGAGAAAAAAAGATGTTGTGTGGAAAAAAAAGTGTGTGCAAATTTATTCTGATTCTCACACTCCTAAAGCTAAAATAGAACTTAACCAGGGAAATGAGGCTGCTGTGAGGTTTTTTGTTTATTTTCCTAAACATGGAACTTTTTTGGTTAAGACACTGGATTGAGACTCAGGAAATCTGGGTTGAATTTCCAGCTCTGCCATAAACTTCCAGCATGAGCTCAGGCACATCACTTAGGCTTGCACTGCATGCAATTCTTGTACCAATTTAACTGTTTGTTAGGGCTGTGATGTTTCTGCCAAAACAGTTAAATTGGTACAACTCCTAACATGGATGTAGTTATACTGGTATAAAGGTGCATTATACTGGAATATTCCCCCTCCCAAATAGGAATAGCAATGTCCATATGTGAAAGGGTCGACTCACCACTGGCTCCTCCTCATGGCGGGGTGTGGCATAGCAGCACTCTGTCCACTGGGGTCTCCTGCCAATGGCTGCTCTGCCTCTGTGGTGGCCTGCCTCTTCCTGTGACTTGGCCCTCTGGCCAGGTCAATTCAAAGTCCCTCCCCTTCCAGGGTAGTTGGTGAACAAAAAGCAAGGAGAATTAATGCAAATAAATGAAGTTAGTAAAGGATAGAGGGGAGTGACTCCACCTCAGCATGTATCCAGATCTGTCCCTCCCTTCCCTCTGGCAGGGACCATCAGGCAGTGGTTGTCTGGGAAGCTCCTGCCTTCAATCAGCCCTTTCCTTGGGAGCTGAGGGTTGAAGATCTGTTTCTTTTCCCTGGTCTGCCAACAAGTGAGCTGTTCTGCCCCCCCTTTTAAAGCTCCTTCTCCAGCCTGTGCCTCTCTTGCAGGTGTGGCCAGGCTGGGGTAGCTGAGCCCAGACCAGCTCCTTAACCCCTTGTTGTCCAGTGTGGAGTTTATCGACCCTATCACACAGTATAACTCTGCCTTATACCAGTATAACAGAGTCCACACCAGGATGCTGAACCACTTTAACTATATTGGTATAGCTAAAGTGATACAATTTTTGTGTGTAGACAAGGCCTTAATCTCTCTGCGCCTCAGTTCCCCATCTGTAAAATGGAGATAATAAAACTACCTTTTGTAGTTCTTGTCTCTTTAGATTGTAAGCACTTCAGCACAGGGACTATCTCTTTCCATGGATTTGCACAGCACTCAGTACAATAAGGTCTGTCTTCATTGGAGTTTGTGGGTACTATTGTAATACAAACAACTCATAAGCATAGATAATAACAATGCCAATTTTATAATAATTATATATTAAGCTCAAAATTGGAATGCACAAAAATACTTTATTTTATTTTGCATTAAATACAGGATACAGAAAACCTTTCATTTTTACAAAACCTCCATTTGGGGCCTAAACTGACAGGGTCCTTTGAAAAGACAGGAGGTTGGCATCTTTAAGAGAAATTCAATCTTTTGCCTGTCACTCTTGACAGTGGCTCAGTAATTAAAAATGCATAGAATTGAACTCACCCTGGATAATTCTGAATACCTGCAACCTCCCAATACCAGTTTATAAAACAGTGATTAGTTTTTGGAGGACACAATCGCTCTGCACATTTTAGGGGGCTTAGCAGAACCATTTAGCTTACCCATTCTGAGAAGCTAACTAAGAGCCAAATATTGTATGCAACACACTTTCCTCTGCTATTCAGCTGGGGTCAATCAATCTTCTTTTATTCAGGACACGATCTAATACATTGTACTTATAACCTGAATAAATATGCAGTTCTCTAATGTTTCTACACAAAGAGATCACATTTGGGAAAAAACCATCACACTGAGCATTGCATGAGTACAAAAGCTTCTACAAAATACAACTGAAAGGGCTAACACACAAAGAATACCACATAATAATAATTCTGTTTTTTCAAAACAAAAAGGACAAGCAAAAATATGTAGGGTCAGTGATTTGGGATCTGTCAGGTTTTAGGTCTGTTTTCAGAACAGGAGAGGCCTTGTATAAGGCTCCCGGCTGCAAAAATTCCAGCATTATACCACTACCCACATCTTTAAATACTCATCTGCATTAGACCATAACTGAACTGTACTGTACAATAGGCTCAGTTGTCAGCTAGGCAGAGTTTACACTCAGTGCAGCTGAGAAGAAGGTGGAGGAAAGCTGTCTCTAGTCCACCTTTCCACCACCTCAGTCCTGGGTAGAGGCATCCAGCATAACTTAGAGCAGTGGCCAAAGATCTGGTGAAGTGTCATGTACTGCACCTTTTCTGTGTCTGGTGCGAACCCCCATCCCCAACAAAGCCCTGCCCATCCTGGATGCACCACCCTGCATTGCAAGGCAGGGAAATGGGTGGCACAGAACAAGCTATGCCAGCTTTGTGCCACACAAGCTTTCCCAATGTCATAGGAAAACCTCAACTGCTTCTTTAGGGGGCCTATGTGTTTGTCAATTGACTGTTTAGCCTTTGGTGTAAGCCGTGTGACATCACTGAGCCTAGGCAGAGCGAACAAGACAAGATGTAAATTAACTTGAGCTTGCATCTGTTCTGGGTACCAATATCTAACCTCAGCAGTTCAATAATCTAGACTAGGATGTGAGCGTCCACAATTTAACACTCAAAATGCTTGTTTTTCATGTATCTCCTCCAGATTTCTAATCCATCCATCAACAGGAATTATTTATACCCAGCCATGGGCCACATTAGATGCTGAAGTCACTGCAAAGTACAACTTCTATGTGAAGGCAGAAGACACAGACGGGAAGTATAGCTTGGCTGAGGTGTTTATCACTGTGCTAGATGTTAATGACCATTCTCCGGAGTTCAATGAGAACATCCAGGAAAAGACCATGATCATTGGATCACCAGTGAAAATAGAGGTGAGGAATGAAATGATGTCCAAGACTTTAGTGGACGCAGAGTTAGCACAACACCAAGTGCTTTGAACATTCTACCCCTAAGTGTGCATACGTGGGATGAGGGTGAACAAACACATTTGTTTCCCTCTAGTATGTTTTAGTTTGCCCGTTGGGTGTGGCAGTGTAGAACAGAGATCTAAAAACATGGACTGATAATATTTTACATACTGTTCAAAAGGGTAAATGCATCAAAAGAAATGTAATTCTGTAAAGAATAATAAACCCAAGTTACATCATTTAAATGATCAGTTTGCACATAGCGTGCTGTATAGTGCTAGATTTAAAATAAGTCCATCACCATTGGCACAGATGCCATGGAGTGAGTAAATGTGCATGGGGATTGAAACCAGGCTACCCTTCAAAGCAGAGATCAAGTCCATTGTGTGGGGATACTTGCATCTGTCCATATAGTTACATTGGTTCTGTAATGAGGGCTTCAGTTTCCAAGTAGTATATGTAATGCTGTAGAGTGGAATATGAAAAAAAAGATGCAGATGTCATGTACAGTTAAATGAGAATCTGCCTAAAATATATATTAGCAAACATACATTAGCAAGTCGGATGACAAGAATATACATATGGTTAGCAAAAGTAAATATTGAAGTATAATAACAAAAACAAATATAGTTTAGTGGTGTACAGAGCTAGCTCACTGTCAAATTGTTTTCTATCAACTTCACCTGTAAGAGTAAAGTATTCCTTCTAGTCTGGCTGCAGGGAAATACCTGTTAAATTAGTACAAGATGCCTGCTATTATAAAGTGAATCATTTATACCATCACGTCCATGGATACATAATACCTGGACTTTCTTTCTTGTTTACTTTAATCTAAAATAAAAATTGTTCAGATGGAAAGGACTGCTGATTTTGTCGTCTAAGGTCACACAGTAATATCTCAGTAATCTCACAGCAGATGCTTTGACTATCCCTAAAGTGGGCAAATACATGCCCAGGAACTTTTACATTCTCCCTTCATCCAAATTCATCAGCAATACGTGTCTCTTTTCAACATTTCTCCTGAACAGGCTATAGATCAAGATGCAGAAGAACCCAACAACATTGTAGACTATTCTATTATGCAAGCAGATCCAGCCAATGTATTTGATATAGATCAAAGCACTGGGGAAATAAAGCTGAAGTCCTATATCAGGTCCCTGGATATCATTCACAACATCACCAAGAACAAAGACTGCATATGGTCTGTGGTAGTTCAAGCCAAGGACCGGGGTTCCCCTTCATTTAGCACGACGGCAGTACTGAAGATTGATATTACAGAAGAGGTAAGCAGATATTGAACAGAAGTGACCAGCCTTGGGAGATGTTTGGGTGGAACCAAAGAGGAGTTTCCACTCACACCATTTCTAAAGAGCACTGTTTAATGTTTCAAGAGTTGATAATAGCAAAAAAATAAAATAAAATGCCAGCCATCAGAGTTTTCCCAACAGATTTTTGATAGCTCCACTGTTTAATGCCTTTCCAGAACCCTGAGGCCCAACCAAATTCTGTGGACTCAGAGGTCTAAGAAAATCCTGATTGGAGGAGAGGGGAAAATCCTGATTGTGGCGGGGGGGAGGGGTGTTAGAATCTGGCTGGGAGATTAGTTCCTTTCATCTGATGTCAGACAGTTAAGGACCTATGTGCCCCTGAGACCAAACTTCAGTCGGACTACTACATTTCTGATCTGTTGGTCAAGAGAGATGAAAGGGAACTAGACCAAAAGTTGCCCTATGGCTTGGAGAGCAGGCGATCAGAACTGGGATTGTGGGGGCAATTAGGTCAAAGACTAACTGCAATCCATTTCTCTCCCCTGTGACAGCAGCATGGCCATCTGGGTGTAGTAACCTCCACAGTCTCAGTGTGGGTAAAAGAGAGAGGTGAATGCATAGAAGGTACTTGAGAAGGCAGAAAACTCATAGAACCAGCTCCCAGCTCCTCCCAGCTCCTCCAAGGAGCTCCACACTTAGCGACTGCTGAAGGGCTATTCCTAAGAACTTTTAGATACCACATTTAAGTTCTCTATATATCCTAATATATATTATAAGGAATATCTGTGTGGATTTCCTATGACTAAAATATTTTCTTGATCTTAAAAAATAATGCAGTATCAGCAGCATTTTAAAAAGTAAGCAGCAGAATGATCTTCAGAGCATGAGAACCAGAAAATGTTACTGATTGGAAGTTGACTGGAGACAAATAAATGATCCAGTCTAATTTCATTGTTCAGCAAAAGTGAAATGCAAAAAGTAAACGTACAAATGCATGTTTAAAAATAAATTAGTTTTTATGTATTTTAATAATCCTCAGTGGTGTTAGTAATCAAAACAAAAAGACTTTAAATATATTATGCATTTGTTGGCAGTGTCCCTTCAATCTGACTTGTTTATATGTTAAAATCAGGCTTAAAGTGTGTTTTCATGTATTCTAAACCCCTTTTCCACTGTACTGGGACCTTTTAAAAGGGGTGTCAGAGAGGTGCAAATGGGCTTTAATGCAAAAGAGACAGACCTCTAGCCTTTTACTATCTGGACCCATCCATGGGGCATAAATGCAAATCTCTTCATGCTAACAGTGACTGGCCTTCTCTTGCTTTTGTCCAAAATGCAGCCAAAGTTCTGTATCCTTTTAAATATTAGCATCTCTCTCCTTTTCTCATTTTTTTTTCTGTTTTCCCTCTCATGTTCCCTTGATATCAGTCACCCAAGGTAAAGAGATCTGTGCACTACCGGAAGCTCCCTGTGCACATATTCTGAGCCCATTGATTGTTATCCATCTCCTGACAGATAAAAGGCTTCATCAGAGAGAACTCATTTTAACTGTCTCTTTAAAAATGATGAGCCAGATTCTGCTTTGAGTGATACCTGTGTAAATCTAGAATAACTCTACTGATACTCTGAATTTATACCACTTCCACTCCTAGAAGAATCTGCTCCAACATGTCAGATGTTTGACTGTTTCTGAGTTGTGGAGTATTTCTACAGCAAACAGGATAAAGTGCTCAACCCCCTGAAGCAAACTAGCAGTATGTGGCAGCTTACTGTTGGTGATAACCTGTGCCTTCATTAGAATAAAGCATTCCACTTCCACATTTAATATTAGGTGACATGGAACTACGTAATATTGAATTTTGAGCCACCCATTAATTCTAAGAACATTTCCAGTTCTTCTAATTGTAACATAACCATTAACCCATCCTTTCACACAATTTCCAGCCATAGAGTGTGGATGGACTTAGCTACTGACCTCACAGTAGTGTGTGCCTGGCTATTAGTCCAGCAAGCTACAGCTGCTGAGCAAGAGACATCACCGAAATCTGGGCCTTGACATCAGTCAGCATATTGGAGGTACCGAGTCAGTGAGCTCACAGGGGCCTATGACTGGTCATCAGCACAACAAGCTAGACAATCTGAGCGGGATTAAAAGAAGGGGGAATGCGCTGGAGAGCAATTTCCCCTGCTCTGCTAAAAGCAATGGGAGAGTTCCCTCCTTTCTATCTTCTGTAGATGGGGCACTTGAGCTCCCCCATTTCCCCTGTCCATTTCCCTCTCTTGAACTTGGGGAGGCCAGCTCCCCAGACCTCCCTATTCTTCTCTCTGGTCACTGGGTGTCAAAAGGAGGACTCCTCAGGTGAGAGAAGCTGATGAGGGAGTGGCAGGAGAAGCTGTTGGTTGGCTGGTTATCTAAAGGTTCCAAGAATTCCTGCCAGTGGGTGAAGAAGCTTTGGTTCCTAATAAGAGAATGTGTCCATTTGGGAGTTCCTTGCCTGACTTCTGCTGAAAATATCGGTCCCTCAGCAAGTTTCACCTCCCCTCCCGAGGTGCAGAGAGGGATGGAGAGAGCTGCCTGCCACTTCCAGTTCCCCTGCCCCTCCAGGAGAAAAGGCAAACCTGCCACCAGCTTTTTTTGCCCTGGGCAAAATGCAGGGGCAAAAGAAAGGTCCTGTGAGTGTCCTCTCCCCTCCTGGAGTTCCCTAGTGAGGAGTGTTGGCGAGCAGAGGTGGGGAAAGTAGCTGGGAAACCAAGAGATGTTCTGTGTATTTCTACACCCTGCATGTGCTCATGCTCTTTTGTCTGCTCTGAGACTCGCACACCTTTCCAATACATTTATTCCTTCCTCCCCATTCTCTTTCCCATGCACCGGCTCATCAAAAAGTTAATGCACTGCCACTTCCCCAACCATGATGATACAATCACCAGACTTGAGGAGCAATCCTTCCTCCTATTTTTTTCTAACTATTAACAACTTCCTGCTAGCAACCTGCTGATATTGTGTACCCTCCATTCAGAGAGAATGATTTTCAGTGTTCCCTCTCCCAAGCATTGCATTTATGGACTTCAGTCCACTATATTCCACTTAGAATCATAGAGTTGGAAGGGACCTCGAGAGGTCTTCTAGTCTAGTTCCCCTGCACTCATGGCAGGACTAAGTATTATCTAGACCATTCCTGACAGGTGTTTGTCTAACCTGTTCTTAAAAATCTCCAATGATGGAGATTCCACACTCTCCCTAGGCAATTTATTCCAGTGCTTAACCACTCTGACAGTTAGGCAGTTTTTCCTAATGTCCAACCTAAACTGCCCTTGCTGCAATTTAAGCCCATTGCTTCTTGTCCTATCCTCAGAGGTTAAGAAGAACAATTTTTCTCCCTGCTCCTTGTAACAATCCTTTATAACAACCTTCATAATTAGCCCGCTCAGGCAGGAGCTACAAAACGAATCTCGTAGTATGCCCTACAGAAAAATCCTTGCACAGTGCTTGATCACTTCTTACATCACCTGTAGTTTCTCAGTGGTGTCCAGAGTTACTTGCAAAAAATACTCTCAGATTCAGTCTGTGGGGGAGATTCAATTTCCAAATACAAAAATCTGCTGTGGCTGCAGGGTCGGCTCCAGGCACCAGCTAAAGAAGCAGGTGCTAGGGGCAGCCAATACAAAGGTGCGGCATTCCGGCCGCTATTGGGGCGGCACGTCCAGGTCTTCGGCGGAAATTCAACAGCGAGTCCCTCAGTCCCTTTTTCCTCTTTGAGCTGCTGCCGAAGTGCCGCTGAAGAGGAAGAGATGGAGTGAAGCCCTGTCGAACTGTCGAAGAGTGGAGTGGCGCGATTGCGCTGCTGCAGCTTTTTCTTTTTTTCCCCTCCGCTTCGGGCAGCAGAAAACCTGGCCCTGGCCCTGGCCCTGGCCCTGGCCCTGTGTAGATGGGTTCTCATTCTCTTTCTTTATGACCACCTCTGCTAAGTGTCTGTCCTGTTAGCACACTGAAGAGTCCATCTGGGTTGTCTCTCTTTTGTCTGAGGTTATAACTGGTAGAAAAGAGTCCATATAGCATCTAAAATCTAGTCTGGACAATACAATCTTAACCATGTGAAGAAAACAGTCTTTTGTTAGGATCATGCACGAGCCACACACAGGCTATAGGTGAATGTGTCTTTTCTCTCTCTTCTCTGTGCATATACCATCTCTGTTGGTTAGAGTGCTGTATGCTGAGTGGTTGTTGTTTTTTTTTTTTGTTTTTTTTTAACTACTCCCTTCTGGATGCAGAGCTTTTCTGACAGCATAACTAGAGGTTTCTCACAGTGTTAATCACACTGAGTAATTAAACAGGCATATTTTTCTGATTAACATTTAGCATTGCAATTAGTGCAGGGCTGTGCCCTTTGTGATAGATGCCTTGAGGCTAAGTGCGTCAGTAGAGCACATCAAAAAGACCTTTTGCTCTTTGAATAATACAGCAATAAAAAAATCCAGAAGCAGTTTAATTTAACTGAGTCTGGTTTTATGGAAATTGGTATTGATTGGTGCCCAATGCTTTTCTTTATCTCCTATCCTTGCTCGACAGAATAAGAAACATATGCTGAAGAAGCAACTATTTTCCTTTTTTTTTCTTCCCGTTCTGTCCTGCTTAAAATTTATTCCAATATTTCCAAATGTGAGTGACTAAAGCTAGGCAGCTAAGGCTCCAGTTCTGTAGGGTGTTCCACATAGATGGATCCCTGCCTACACACAGAACCCCCTTGACTTCACTGGGACTCTGCAAGTTTATGGGGCTATTTGGACACAACTATTTGCTGGACTGGGATAAGTCCATATTCAGGCTCCTAAAATCAGTGGTATATTTGGGCATTCAGCAGCTTGGGCATTTATTTAGACTTCTGAAATATAGATGATGATGACAGAACAAATATATAATGGATAATATGAAAAAGTATAGGAGATAAGCATATACATTAGGCATGAAAAAGAAGACAGGGTGTAATAAGGTAGAAATTTAAAATGGAAACATTTTT